ATTTCGAGCAAAAACATTATAACAAAAAATAGTTTATCTCTTAAATAGCCTTAAAATGACTATTGGTTCTTCATTTTATGAAAAAGAAATTTTAATGCAAGATACGAAAAAGGCGCGAAAAAAGACAAGCATTATACATAGATTGTATGGTGTATTGGTCGTTTTGAAAAGATGTGTGATGAGAGTAATATCTTAAAAAAAACTAAACTAATGACTTCGGTCCATTCCAGACAACTGGTTTCTTTATAGAGATACACAAATGGTTCAATATAGGCAACTCTCCCCTAGATATTTTCATTCTGCCTATAACAACATTCGTTTACAGTTTACAGTAACAAAATTTCTCTGTCCTTCAGATGTCGTTATAAACGTACTCCACTGTATCTCAGAAGATTCTTCCGATTTCGAACTCTCGATTTCCACCAAAAAACGATAGCAGGCTAAGTTTTCAAGCGTGTCGCACAAGTAGAACTATCTGGTAGCGAGGTTCCGTCGAGCCAGAATATAGCCAGCCGAAGTTCGGCCCGTCTATTTCCGGATCACCCTGTATGCGAACGAAGTTCTCGGTTCCTCCGAATCGTCGTTCCCTGTCTCGCCTGTGCTGGTCTCTTTGCGAGGATTCGCGCGAGCGAGTGTGCTCGCGGGGACGTGCTCCTCTCTCACCTAGGCACACACCACAGGCACACAGAGGCTGCCTTTGAGTGTGCGCGCGCTTGTGCGCTACTCCCACTCCGATACACCCTCGCGGCAGCAGCCAGAGCACCGACAGACTCGGTCGAATGGATTGTACACACTATACACGCACACACAGAGAGCCCGAGAGAGCGCACCCACGCGACCCGCGTTTCGAGCCAGTCGTACGTTCGGGTATGTGTATGTTTGTATGTGTGTATGTGTGTGTGCACGTAGCTCGAAACGCTGCGAGCACATCGCACCGCACCACGCACGTTCGTGGCGGCCATGCATTCAGCCAGGCCAGCCAGGTAGACTGCTAGGAAATCGGCCGACCAACCAACGACCGACTCACGGAGATTACGAGCGATCGATAACGTCGATCGATTTCCCCTATGGGAACACACGCGACGTCCCCCAAAGAGCGCGGGATTTTCCCTCGCGACACCATTCCGAGGAGACGATCCTTGCGGCGACTCGCGGAATCACGGATCTCCTCCGACGAAAATGTTCGCCCGTGTGCGTTCCCTCTTCTTCCTGCCCGACAGCTTTCGATCGCCTCGAGGATCGACGCGGTACCGTTACAAGAGAGAGGGACAGAGAACCCAGTGGGTGAAGACCGTGTGCACCGAAATTAACTGGAGTTTCACTCTCGATCCCACGGACCCCACGAATCACGGGGATTTTCGTGGTGGTACTGGGGATGGATTTGTTTGCCCGTAATAATTAATAATACAAGTTTGTCTCGGAAATGTAATTCGGGTAATTATTAGAAGCATTTAGACACACTGTGCGAGTAATTCTCGTGGGTGATTGTTCTCGCGAGGAAATTAATGTTTTTTTGTTTGATGATTCCCGGAGGATCCGAGCTATGGAATTGAGAATTTTCAGTTTTTTCGTTGGAGGTTTCGGGGATCAAAGGGGTTTCCCGAATGATATTGGAGAGCTGAAACTCGAGGAGTCGACGGAACTCCAGGGGTGTTCTTTGGTCAACTTTCGCCCTTTGGACTTGTTTAACCTAGACGATTGCGGATGAACCACCTGGAGGGCCTAAGCGGTTGTCTGAGGGACGCACTTGTAGATGTCGGTAGTATTTTTGAACCAGAAATTGGTTATCCCAGTGTTGAAGAAAATGGCAATTAGTTGTGTATAATTGGTGGAAATGGAATGTATAGTTGGTGGAAATGGTCGAAACAATGATGTATAGTCGGTGGAAGTGATCGAAACTAGAATGTATAGTTGATGGAAATGATTGAAACTACAATATATAGTTTGTGGAAATGGTCAAAACTACAATACACATTTGGTAGACATGCTAAAAATCACGATGTATCCATGGTGGAAACTCAAAGCATAGATTCTGGAAATGTTTCAGTTAATTCTCCTAACCTTACCTTTCGATTGCACGATCTCCCCCTAATCTTCCACCTCGTGTACCAAGTGTTTTGTATCTCGTTGTAGATCGATTATAACGGTGATCGTAATACCCGTCACTTTTACTCTCCTCCCGTTAACGGCGCCCGATAATATCACCGTTGTATTTACGCGCACGTTTAATTTCAATGCGCTCCGCGGCCACCTCGCGGCGTGATCATTTTACGTCCTTAAAGGATACGGTTCCGCCTCGATAAATCAATCTATCGCCTCCGCCGGCTTCTCGGACTGTGCCGCGGCAGAACAGACTCAATTAAAACCAGTCGTCCGGTGTGTTTCGCGCCGGCTTCAAAAGATCCCCCCTCCCACCCCATCCCCCTTTCCACGTTCCACACACGAGCTGGGACAACGCGATCAGACGGTCCGGCACTACGGAGAAATCGCTGCGGAGGAGGCTCCCTCCGCGCGAGAAGTAAATATTAAATTGTACCCGTGCGGTGGTTTCTCGTGGCGCGCGGCCCGTTGCGAAGAATGCCGTTGCGACACGCTCGCGAACACGATCTCGACGCGTAATTTGCATAAGTACGTACGTGGAAAGGACGAACGGACGGGACGATCTCCCACTCGTAAATTCGACTCGGCGTGCACGCGCGCGCTAGCTCGCTCCGTTCGCTGCTGTAGTCGCGAAGGACGCGATAAGAAGCGTGTGGTGGCCGAAGAGAGAACAGCGCGACGGCTCGTGGATCCCCCCTCCACGCTTCGTATGTCTGGTCGTCAGAGAAACAACGATTCGTCTCGATCGATCGAAGAGGAGTATATAACCCTACAGTCGCGTGCCACGATTTATCATCGATCGTCCGGCATCGATTGGATGTTCCACGGTAAACTTCACGGACTGGATAGGATACACCTGGCGTCGGGATAGAACGGTCAGAGGGAGTAGTGGGTGGTACGGTGGAAAGGAATCAGTGGAAAAGGAGGAAGAAAGGGGGACACAGAGAAGAAACGGCGAGGAAAAAAAAAGAGAAAATCATTCACTGGGTAAAGAAGGGAAGAGAGCCGAGGTGGTAGTCGCAGCCATCGCCGTCGTCACCGTCACCGTCGTCGTAGTCGTGGTCGTCGGTGCCGCCGCCGCTGCCGGCGGGAGGCTCCGAAAACCGAGTGCGACCGAGCGCAGCCGAGGAACGACGGAAACATACGAACCTCGGCGGCTGCTCGAGCGACCTAACCAGCGACACGGCCAAGCAGTGCGGTGCCGACTCTTGCTGCCGCAGTTACCAGGTTTCCGTGGCGCGCGTGCACTAGTGTTTACGCGTCGAGAGAGAGAGAAAGAGATAGTTCGCCGAAATCAGAGAGAGAAAGAAAGAGAGACCGGTCGAAACAGAGCCAGAGAGACAGGAGCAAGACGAGGAGGAACAAAGGAAAGAGGCGAGGAGGAAGCACACGCTCACGGCCGGGGCTTTTATCGTCGCGTAGAGCCGCATGAAATTTTAGGAGCGGCACACACCGCACACAGAGACACGTACACACACACACACACACTGTCGCGTTATCGGAGGCAACAGCGACGTATTATACCCGTACACACCGTACGAACACACAACGTACCCTGTGTCCCGTCGGTGCGAGGCAACGCGAGGCCGTACACCGAGACGGAAAGAGAGAAAACCACATCGTAGCGTCTTCGTCGTCCGGGGCGTGGGTGCCACCACAGGGAAACGCGCCGGGTATATATCTTCTCGGCGTAGCGCGATTTCGCCCGCTAGGAAACCGTGGAACGACGCGGGGCGCGCGGAGAGAGGACGGGATGATCGTGGACTGACCGGATCCTACGCGGTGAAAGAGATATACTGTGCTGTCTACGTCCGATTCTTTCGTTCGCTGGTCGAAAAACGGTGACGCCAGCTGAACAAGCTAGAACGGTGTGAGGTCCACCGAGGAGGCCACCGCGTTCAACGGGTGAAACTTGGAAAAAAGAAAGTTCTCGCCTCGAAGATATTCGGTCCGGGCAGTGATCTCCGGTTAGGTGGTGGTCACGTGTGTGTGTATGTGTGTGTGTGTGTGTGTGTCAGCCGGGTGAAAATCGTGTGAGAGCGCCCGCGGACTCTCGAAAAAGCGAGACTTTCGCGGTGTCCGTTCGAGAGTAGCAAAGAAGATACGTCGCGTGGAAACCGTCTCAGAAGGCTACTTCTTCTAGTTCTTGGGATATATACCCGTGGTTCCGTCGGGTGAATCCGTCGGCGTGAACAAGCACATATATATAAACACACCTCGAGGGAGAGAATCGTGGAGCTCGAACGCGACCGGTTGCGCCGGCTATCCTGGAGGACGATGACGACGGTAACGGGGATCGCGAGCGGTAACCGGAGGACGATCAGCTCGAGAGGTCTCGATTGAACACCGCTCGCCTACGCTCTCGACTACTCGACTACTCGAGCCCCGGTGGTTCGACCGTCGCCGGCGACCGACCGGCTCCTCGGTCCCGTCGTCGCGACGGTAACTGTTCCCGGTGACACAGTGTGCCAGTGAGTGCTGTTCGTGTGCCCGAGAAAAAGATAGAGCTTTTCTATTCCACCGCCCCGTTTCTACGGGGGGCAATCGGTACCATCCGGCGGTCCGCGTACCTGCCGACGGCTCGCTTGTTCACGTTCCCTCCCAATTGGAGCCGTCGGGTTTAGTCGGTTCGAGTGTCGAATCTCTCTTTCCAGGACACCTTGTGTCCCTACACCGAGTGTATTTCCATTGGGACGAGAACCAGGACTTCAGGGTGAGCTGTGTGTACCCCCCTGTTGTGTCCCGAAACCGAATCTCCCTCCCTGTGTGTCCCTTAGTAACGGTTGCTCGAAACGGGGAAACTCAGGCGGAAGCGACGGGAAAACGGTCGTTCGAAACCCGCGAGATACACCTTTGTCCCTGGGGGTGTCTCGGTGTGTCCAATTATTGGGAGACAAAAGGAGTAAGGTATTTCTCGTTCGGGGGGGCGTGTGCCTCGAACTTGTGTGTACCCGACGGGGAACGCACCGTGAACAACTGAACTTCACTTTGCCTGTACGGCCGAGGAATATTATCCGTCGGCGAGGATGCAGGTGGCAACGCTGTTTAGGGAGAGCGCCACCCTGCTGGGTGCCTCTAGCCTGGACCCCCCGCAGACCCACCATCACCAAGCTATACAGCAGCATCAGCAGCAACAACAACAGCAGATACAGCAACACCCGGCGGATCTTCACCTAGCCCATCAAATGCACCATCACTACAAAATGTAAGTCCCCACTGATGATATCGCGCCCCCATACTCACACTGGGACACGCAACACGACGGAGCCATTGTGGTCCCTTTCTCTTTTCGCCGAATAATCGCGCGTACCGGCCGAAACGAGCCGGGGATTCTTCGGTGGGGGGACCGGATTCCGGGTGCCGTCGGATCGGCCGATTCGTAAACGGGTCGCGAAGAGACTACTTTTCGAAATGTCTCTCGTGCGCGTTTCTCCGACTGCGTAGCCCCAGGATTTGGCCCCAATACCGGGCACCTCTGTTCCAAATCGCCGTTCCATGTTGTAAGACATAATTATACAGGGTGTCCCACGCAATTGGAACAGGCTGTATCTCCTAAACTGTTGGGAATAGAAGATGTTATAAGTAAAAGTTAAATGGTATCAGACGGTACATAATATGCAACTCATTTGATGCACTTTTGTGCATCGGTGCATCAGAAAAATGCAACTGCACGTTTTTTTTAAATGGACACCTATGTTTTTGACTGCACCAATCGATGCAGTTTCTTGTGCTCTACATAAAAGTACTAACATACTTATGCCGTAAACTTATTCGTTAGGAATCTATCGAAGCTTCATGTTTACAAACATTGTAATGGAACATAACGTAGATACTCCGGAACACTTGCCGAGAGACCGAAATGATTCAGAGAACTTTTAGCTTCGATAACTTCCTAACGAATAAGTTTAGGGCATAAGTATGTTTACTTTTATGTGGAGCACAAGAAACTGCATCGATTGGTGCAGTCAAAAACATAGGTTTCTACTTTTAAAAAAAGTGCAGTTGCATTTTTCTGATTCACCGATGCACAAAAGTGCATAAAATTAGTTGCATGTTATGCACCGTCTGATATAATTTAACTTTTATTTATAACATCTTCTATTCCAAACCGTTTAGGAGGTACAGACTGAAACAGGCTGTTGTTCCAGTTGCGTGGGACACCCTGTATAAAACATAATTATATCAAGACGTAGTTATATCGGAAGGCATGTTCAGGCCATTGAGAGAGAGTGAGCGGTAAATAAACAAATGCCGTCGATGATGCCGCATTGAAGCAACGCGACGGGGCATTTGTTCGTTGCGTGAGCATTGCGTTGCCATACATTCGAGCAGTTCGAAGCGTATCGTTTAATAAATTATTAATTTGTTTCGTTTATGACCATCCTTTTATTTTCGGCCCTTTACCATATGCTCCGATGGGTCTGGAGCGTTCACAGAGTCCCTAATTGTGCGAAGGGACGTCTTTGCACGAGTAATACGCGTTTTGTACGTTTCACTTTGGGTATTCCTAGCTCTAGTTAACGTCCACGTTGGTCACTCGAGGCTGTGTCGATCAATGTAAGCGCACGGCCTTCGATCGATGTCAGCTGATCGATCGAAATATGTTGTCGAACGAAGTGACGGGGAAACCGGAAGTCGTGGCTTAGGAAGATTGTTAAACTTTAATCAGTTTACAGATTTACCAGTAATTATATACTTCCCATTACAAATACTCCTGACAAAATCTTCGATTCTTGGTATAGTAAAATATAGGGAAAAATTGCTTTTCCTATATACAAAGTTTGATAAATAAAAGTTAAGTAATAGTTTCTAAATATTTTTAGAACACCTGAAATTGTATATTTGCAAACACAAAAACCATCCTGCTAGCGAAGTGTTGAGTATCACGTTCACGCCAGCCTGCGATATAGTTTTATACAGGGTGATAAAAAAGGGTTTATAACTTCTAGGGTAGATAATACTCGCGAAATGAGGAAACAAAGTCCTAGTCGAACATGAGTCGAAAAATTAATATTTTTAATGCTAGTAACATAGGTATTATATGCAAAGTTTGACAGGTAAAAGTTAAGTAATAGTTTTTAAATATTTTGAGTTTTGTGCATGCCATAAATACAATCTTAATTCTTTCATTCAAACATCATTCCGAAATTGTAACTAAATATTCACTAGAAAATTCCCGAACAAAGCAGTATACTCTATTAACTGATTGTTAATATTCACAAATATATTTTAATTAACTACACCTGAAAAATAAAAAGAAATCTTTCTTCGGGTCTTAATAAATTCACCCCTGAAGAGACTAAGTTAAACCGTCCCACAATCAAAGTCTTAATATTCAGAATTCAACGTCCGTCGCACAGTGGTCCAGAATCAAAATTTAGCAGCTCAAATGGTGAAAAGCAAATTTCTTTTATGTTCCAAAAGAATTCAAAACAACTTACCATTAACATCAAAAGTTTCTTTCATGAATAATTGTTCTCTTTGGACCCTTTCAATCTCAGACAAAAATAGAAAAAAAATTCCCCAAAAATTTGTTGGGAACAGTGTTAGTGAATGATCATCGAAGAGGATCCCCAAAATTGATAAGAATGTGTCTATTTACTCACTTCTAATTGAATAAAATTTACATCTTTAAAAAATTGTGATTCCTTCAGCTAGATAAGAATTGCTAAATTTTCTTTCTGGACCACTGTGCGTCGGATCGAACAGCGTCCTTCTCTCGGTTTCCCGATTATTTCGGCACCGAACGAACAGCTGCCGAAAGTATGAACTTCGATACAGTCGAGTCCCGTTGGTTTTTGGCCGACGAAGAAACACGCCCACGGGAAACGTGGAGTGGACGATCATCCGTGAGAGGTTTTTTCGCCGGGTGGCTTTCGGATTCGAGAGAACCGGGTCCACCAGCAGACGTTATCGCGTTGTCGACGCAAACCGGTACTCTCTCTCTCTCCTGTCTCTCGGTGAGATCCCCTTCTTCCACCCTCTGGAGCCACACAACGGGGAGGGGGGGACCTTTTTACGAATTTCGTCACGCGCCTCGAAGGGACGGACGGCTAGCATTTGTATTCGTTGTGCAAGGTCTGGTCGTGCCTTAACCTCGTTCCTTAAACCGTATAATTTGTTCGACGTATCTCGACGTTGACGTTCCCTCGTCCCCTCTCTGTGGACGTTATCGACGCGATCGACGTCGCGACGGTAAACGTCGGGCGCCAAACGGGGGGAGGAGGAATGAAAAACATTCGAATGAAGCGGTGGTACCGTGCTGGAGAACCGCGGCGAGCTCATTATCGGGAAATAAAGATACGAAAATGAACAAGACTCGTGAGGGAACGAATCGAACCTGCACACACATCGTTTTTTTATGAAACTTAAATGGGAGGTAGGTCACGAAAAAAATATTTGAGAAGTACTTTTTATTAATCGGCTGTCGTGCGTGTTAAGGGGGTGATAACAGGCCCCAAACTTGGGGGATGAAAGGATCTTTTGGAGTATCTCGGAAATTGGAGGGAATAGAAAAAGTGGTTTTCTTTTAAATTGTGTGTTTTCGAATAGAGAATTTAGTCACATAAGAAAATTTAAGAAATAATTATTTGTTCGAATAATATATTAAAAAATCGAATTTTTTTGATTTTCTCATGTGACTAAATTTTCCATTCGAAAGCATACAATTTAAGAACAGAAAACTTTTTCGTACTCCCTCTAGTTTCCGGGATATTCTCATCCCTCGACTTTGGGGGTTGTAATCACCCCTTTAACACAGACGATGATAGATAAAAAAAAATACGTGTCAAATATTTTTTCGAGAAGTATGTCCCATATAAGTTTCATTAAAATCGTCGTGTGTGGTTTCGGTATATTCCCTTGTCAGTTCGCGCAGATAACGAGGGAATTTCGTTGCGCTCACTTACGGTGAAGCTTCTAGGCACACACTTAGGCACGTTACAACCATCCTTGGCATTTTTTCCCAAGATTAATCATTTTCGGAGCTTCTGGCCCATAGATCCGGATGAAACAAAAACAAAGATTCCCTGGTTCCAGTGGAATTTGGTTTGTGTATTCGCACTCGCCAAGAAGGTCGAGACATTCAACCGCGCGATTTCCGTGGAAACGGCGACGATAAGCGTATTCGACTCGCGGTCGCCGGAATAACCAAAGCCAAACCGCGAGAAGTTTCGTGCAGACGCGAGGGCGCCAATAGGTCAAGGCTACATCACGCTTCGGCGACTATATCCTATCGGCTATCTCTCCGCTCCGGCGATCTTCGAATTTGCATTCAGTCTTCCCACCCCACCGAGTCACGCAGAGAGGATTTCTGGATACGGTTCTTCTTCTTGGTAGAAAGCACCCTGGGGTAACGTCAAGCAAACGTCTAAACCTTGTCAAACTAGTCGAATCAGTAACAATAAACACAAGAAGGTGATGACTAGACTGCCAATTTTATGCGTTGATCCTAAATGTGAGTGTTCAGTAAATAATAAGTGAGACGACGGCGTAGAATACCAAAAGTTTCGTTGGAGGGATCTCACTCAGGAAGGAAGAAACGTAAACGAAGCCACATGGCCGTGGAGAACGTGTTTTGGCGCGGATAACGTTCGAACGGTACGGCGGTAAACGTTTTCACCGCGAGACCCCTGTAATAGGGACCCGAGGAACAACCAAGGGGGGAATAAACGAAAGAAAAAGACAGCGCGTAGAGGTGGCCACGTGTCACAGATAAATCGTGCTTCGCCGATAAATCGATCTTATCAATAAGATCGAGCCTCTTCCTTTTTCCATTCCTTCCCTATGCCTCTTTCTCTCTCGTTCGCGAGCGCTTCACAACTCGTTGGATTCCTCCGATTCGCTCTGCCGGTCGGTCCCGTTGAAGTTATTCATGTATTCCATAAGTTCGGAATACATGAATAGCCTACAAGATGTGCAGGTATCCCCGCGAATCGTCGTCTACGATAAAGCCGTACTACTCCTCTTCCCGCGGCAATTTAGGACCGTTTAAGATCCACCCCGTCGAAGGAATCACTTGCGACCAGACGGACCTGTCCGACGTCGGGAAACTTGTCTCTCGGAGAACTTTGAATCGGACGCGCACGAATTTCCCAAAGAGTTCCTATTTTATTTTTGGTATTGGCGATACGAAATGTTTTGAGGCGGATTGAAGTGTTCCGATTAGAATTGAAGAGTCTAGGAGAAAAATGATCATAGTTGATT